GCCCCCCCCAGCCTCTCTACTGCACTGTGCATCCACACACTCGCCCTCCCCACCCGCCCAATCCGCGTCTGCAGCTTAGTTTGTCTTTTTATTTTTTTAATCCTTGAATGAAGGAGTTGCAGTTTTCTGGAACACATCACATTTTATCAGTACAAAATATTTTTTAAACATTCAGGTATTTAAAAGACCAATAGGTGCAGCACAATAAAAGGAGATTTATGCATTTTTGGCATTTTGCAGGAATGATTTGAGATGCGTCTTAGTGCCCCCTCCTCCCTTTGACATTAGAGTTTATTGAGAAAATGGTCCCATTATATAAGAAGTATGCAGCCATTCATCAGTGCAGCACAAGAGTGACTTGGGTCAGCACTTGGGCAAAAATGTTGCTGATTTTGATCTGGCTCCAGGAATAAACATTTGGGGCGTGGGGGTTTATCACCACAAGCTGCTGGTAAATCAGATTTACAGGGCGGTGCTGATTATCATGAGAGAATAATTTTCAGTGTTTTCTATGAATATGCATTAGGCTTCATTCATGGTAAGGACAATGCACATGTGAATGAAATGTATTTGTGTGTTTCAACTGAGGCAGGGTCTTCACTTCATCCTTGTGAATGTGATGCTACCCTGGTGCTTTGTGTGAGAGTGTATGTGTGTGTGTGTGGGCTGAGAGAAGGAGGGGGTGGGGAAAAAAAAAAAAAGGGGGGGGGGGGGAATCCTCTGCATCTTCCTCATGTTAAGCCCTTTTCAATCCTCCCCTCCCTCACTCAATTTCACCCAACCCTGTGCACAGCCTGTGTGTACATGTTGTGTGGATAAATGTTAGTTTGAAACCCTTATTGTCACTAGTTTTAGGGTTCAGGTTAGTGCAAGGGGCGTTCACTGTAGCTGCCATCTTCCTCTGAGCCAGTTCTTTCACCCAGTTTGCTCTCACATTCTTCTTCATCTCCCTTTCTTTTAGCTCTCTTTCCCCCACTAATCTGCTTGCGCATTCAGTTTATATTTTCTTAGAAATTAAATACTTGGGTGCTTGTTATCCATTATTGCCAGTGCTGATATTTGTCAGTAAAAGGTACTTGTTTTAGTTTTGTTTAATACAATAGATGAACAGGGACCACTGTGGCTTTACAAATACTTGGATGCGCTGGTCTTTGTTATAATGTTAAAATGATTACACTGGCCATTGTAGAGACTACATGAACACTTTTTAAAATGTAACTTCTGTAGTATAGCAACTTCTAATTGGTCCTTTTAAAATATCCTAATCTCTCTCTCACACACAAACTAAACTTTGTGTTGTGGTGTCTTTGAGAATCTTGAAGCACCATATAAATGTTTTCTTATTTTTCTCAATCTCTATAAAATGTCAGAAGGAAAAAGGCCTTTACAATTTCCCAAAACGTAAAGTGGCAGCTTCACATTGCTCGTGTGTCCACTCAACATCCTAAAACCATAACATAGGCACGTTTACTATCATAAGACCAAGAAGAGTTGTTGGGGGCAAAGAATGTTGGATGTCTTTGCTTATGATTAATGGTGTTGACTGACTGTTTCAGCTTTGAAATGGTCATTTGGAGAACTGACAAAGTACCTGAGAGAATAAATGTTAAGTTACATTATGTTGAATGAACAAAATTGCATTAATAAGAGTTTCCTCAACAGAGCTACTTTGTTTATGCAACAGGTAATTTATTATTGGAATATTTTCAGCCATGCATACGCAGGTTAGAGTAAACCAAGTAAAATGACATGGCTGCTGAATCATGTTTTCTAAACACACAATACTGGAGCACCAGCATATTTGAAGTTAGTGGTTTGACCTTTGTGAAGTGACACCTCCTTATGTTGGCTGCAGCCCAATATGCTAGCAAGGTGGTTTGTTCAGTTGTGAGTGTCTGTTGAGATGTACTTGGAGGTTTTGGCATCTTTCCGGAAAGTCGAACTAAAGAATGTGCAAAGTAATGTTATGATCCAAGCCATTACTTAAGATATGTAAAGATATAAGCATCCCTCACCTGAGAGGAGTTTACTGGACGTGTAGCACAGTTAAACAAAACAAGCATCTGGATTACAATTGTCATTAACAACAATAATAATTATAGGAATGTGTTTGACATTTCAAGGCATCATCAAGCTGATAAACTATCACCTACCAAGTGACTTCTAAAGTAGCCTATAGCAGAACTTGACATCAGTTTAATCCACCATTATTGTGAGTTATGTCACAAATAAGGGAATTTTAAATGATACAACATGCTGTTTCAGGCATGTGCTATTGAGAGCTGAGTGTATGCAGGATTTCATGCCTCCCACCAAAGGCTCCAGCAGGTCGTTTCACTGATTAATACCCCTTCAACCAGAGAGGACAGACTAATAAAATGAAATCACCTGCTGGAACCTGTTTGAAATGAAATACCTCCACACAGTACAATCTGTCCTGAACGGTACACGGTCAAATATGGAAGTTTGTTTCCTGCTCAAATCATCTTGTCTCAATTCAAGTAGTGTGGTGAAGGAAACTATTGATTTTTAAGCCAGACATGTGACTGGAGGAAAGAGGGAGATGTGACTATTTTTGCTCTGTAACCAAATATAGATGCTGGTTCTATCTTGGGCAGCTCTCAAGTACATGTTCTCTTTGTCCCTCACCCTCCCTCCTGCTCCCCCAGCCTGATCAAGCTTTATTATTGTCAACTGTTATATTACCTATGTGATTTTTCTCCCCTGCTATTTAAAGTGGTGTGTGTTTGAATGTAGAAGGTGGTGAGTTGCTGTCTTCTGCTGCCTGCATCCCTCCCGCCATCTTTTTCTCTCCTCTCTGAGGTCGGAGGGACTGCTGGTTGATAGGAGAGTTTGGGGTGCGACAGATTATGTAACGGTATGGGGCTTACAAGGACCGCAGCCTCTCCTCACTGAGAATCTTAATTGAGGATTTCAAGGTGGGGGTGTACTCATTATTAGTTCTTGCTCTCTTTGCATAGGAAGTTGAATCTTAAAAAAAAAAACAACTCACCCTGTTGGTAACTGATAAGTCAGGAGCATTCACTTTTCTCTACAGCTAAGCACAGGCTTATTTTAATCAGCACACCTTCATGTTGAAGGAATAATCAATAAATTAACAGAAATCTGAATCTCCATATTCAAAAAGATTTAAGCATTTCTGTCTTTGTAGGAGCTGCTCATCCTCACACCTCTTGTGTGATCCATGCTAATCTAAATCAGAGCTTCTCCACCTGTATCAGCAGACGGGTCTTTGTGATCTTGTTCTTTTTTCCACTGCTCATCAGATCTGTGGTTTTTCCCAGCCTGCAGTGCTCATTCTGCATCAAGTCATTAGGTGGAGGGCTGAGGACACAGCAGCCTGGTCGTCGTGGTGATGATGGCGGTGGGGGATCTTGTTGGTATTCAGGTGCTGCGGCAGGCAGGCAGCTCCCAGACGAGGCAATGCAGACGCGCTGCTATTTTTACTCCTCCTGCTGCTTTTTTTAGACCCTCGGAATAGTGAGCAGGCAGCAGCAGCAGGGGCTGCTCCACTGCTGAGGAGGGAGGGAGACAGAAAGGCTAGGGGATGTCAATACCTCTGGACGTGATGTGCAGCACTAAGCCCAGCAGAGCTGCGGTGCAAACGCGCCCCCGTCAGGGCGCTTCATGGTGGATCAGTTTCCTTTGAGGCGTTGGAATGGGGAGAACTAGGTTCAGAGGGGTGTTGCTGGGAATGAGGGAGTCAGCAGTGCACACATCCCTTCTGCCAGTACACACTCTCTCATTTATTTATTGCACACAACGCACTCAGACGTGTTTGCGCCATCAACACACATTCACCCTTTGTTGCCAGTGTGTGCGTAAATCTTCTTTTGAGCGTGAGTGGCGCTGCTGTCACTCACGTGCTTGCTTACGCAGACCCGTTTTGTTACATTATATCGATGTAATTCCTTCCTCCTTCCTGAAAGGAATTAAGTCCTGCTGGGAGCGATGGGGTGTGTATTGGTGACTGAACTGAACATCCAGTTACATAGGTGACTCGTTTCTGTTTGTAGTCTGTTGTGTTTTACACGTGAAACTGTTCTGTTGTAATTCAGGCGTGGCTGGAAACTTGTCTCCTCCAAATCTACAAATGATTACAATTCTTTTTCGGTTATAATTTCTTGAGTATCTTCTTTGTTGCTGTGTTCGTTGCACTCATGGTGGATGATAGCAACTCAAGAGCAGAACAGAAATGTCTTAAGACTTGGGAGGAACTCTGTGTCCTTATCCCAGCCCCCTGTTACATACAAACACACTTCACTCCCTCCACAGCGTTTATTGAGAAAACGGTACGGTTATATAAGGGGTGAGAGGAGTGTCATTCATAAGTACCCAAACAGTAGTTGGATAATCACAATTCAAAGTGTCCTTAATGAAGAAAGTGGTGATAAAATCATTTGTTCTGATGCTTTGTGTTAAATCCTCATATCCAGTTGTTCTCTAAAGTGGATGGAGGAATTATTTTGCTGTCTACACAGTTTTATCTATTTTAATTCCTTTAAGATGGTTGGGTCATTATCTCCAGGTTGTGTTTTTTTTTTTTTGGTTAAACTCTTATACTCCTTAAAATAAATGTCTGCATATAGCTTTGGAAGCCAGATCCATCCTATAAATGTTTATTTAAAAAAAAAAAGGGCAGATTCTTTTGTTAGTTCTTGTATGCTTTTTATGAATTGGACTTTAAATTTACTTTGGCTTTGACAGAATATGATTAACGCAGTTTAGTGATATTTTTAGGAGAAATAATTTTAAAAATATTCTTCATACCCAAAAATGAACCATGACTGGTTGACGGCAGCATCTCAGTTAAGTCACATGACATTGCACATCTGCTTAAAGGAGGTTTTCTACTTAAAGTGCAGCAGTATAACTAACAGGAAGCATTTTAGTTGTTCAGTTAAACCACTCAAGGCCGTCACCCTTCCTTAAAAAAAATAGACATTTCTGAAATATCTTGTACAATCAAATGACATGTCTTGTTAGCATCTAGCATCCTTGCTGGTTTGTCAATATAATGTTTTCATACTCATCTCACCGTATGTTCAGCGCTCATCAGATAAACCTTTAAGTAATCTGACAAGAAGCTGCATGGCTCTTACAATTTCCACCTGCCAGTCACGACGGGTCATGTTTCCAGTCTTGCTGGTATATGTGTCATGGATTTGTGTAAAATATGGACTTTGTAGCTCATAAAAAATGAGCCTATTTCACAAAGTAATATTAAGAAAAAGCTCATTTGATGTCCAGGTGGTTTCTCCCTGAGCCATTTTACTTGGCAGCAAATGAAGCCTCTGTTTGCCCACACCTGCATCTGCAGTGAGAGTTGGACATGGTACAACCCGCGCCCATTGAGGCTTTTCTACCACGGAGCATTTCATTCTTAACACAGGGGAGGTTTAAAAATAACCAGGGATTCTTTTCTCTTTTCACTTTTGACTTTGTGCTACTGTCTTTCGCTCTCCTGTTCTCTCATTCACTCGTTCTTCTCCTCCTCTCCTCCACCATCTCTGTTCTGTCTCTTTCTCCTTCAGTCATTTGTTCTCTTGCTTCGCTCTGGTTCTATTTTTAGCAACCCCTAGGATCCCCCCTCCCCATCTGTCCCCCAACCTCCCTACCCCACTTCACCCTCTCCTTTCTCCTGCTCTACGTTCGTCATCACTCCCTCCTCTCTGCATACCCTCTCTCATCTTGTCTCTTTTACTGCTTTCCAGCTCTTTGCCAGAGAACGTCCTCTATCCCTGTTAATCTTTCGTCCAGCCTTGCTAATAATATAATCATGATCTACAATTGTATGTGTGCATGTGTATTCATGAGTTCCCCAGTTTCCCCTCACCACCACCTTTTTCTTTTGGTTTGTCTTTTGTTCGTTTTCTACCTTCCTTGTTTTTTTTTTCCTCTGTTTCCCCACTTACTCTCCATCAGTCAAGCAGTGGCTGGGGTTGATGGGCACTGAATGTTTAAAAATAGCCCTGTTTGCTTGACAAGGTGAGGAGAACTCTGTAGACAAGAAGAACATCAGCTTGTTTCTCTTTCTTTTTCTTCACTTCCTTTGTGCTGCTATGGCATATCTTCTCTGCTGCTGCCAAACTGTTCTGCTCCTTTTCTGGCTCGTCATCATTCTCCTTCCTCTTCTTCTGGTCTAAACAGATGCACTCAGTTTAACCTTGCCAGTCAGATACATTGATTCAAAGCTGTGTTCATGTGCACAAAAAAGATCTTGAAAATCATAGTTTTACACCACATGAACTGCTCCCAGTCAGGTATCGGTGGGTGTTGACTGCTTCGTGAGTCCTATACAGTCTTCTTTGTTCTGCTTTTAAACTGGATCATCTTAGCTGCATCTTGATACAGTCTGTGTTCCCTTTGTGATTTGACTCCTATGTATGCCATCTTAAGTTGTTATATGCATCTTTGCTCTAACATCAAGCTGCACATTCACAATTCACTTGTGTGTGAATTGGGGCATCCAATCTCCTTGAAATTAAATGTTATTTAACAAAAAAAAGGTTTTATTGTAGAGCTTAGTGAGAGGTTTTCCCCAAATACAGTTGAACTGTATCATGTCAATGGATTTGCACATGACTGTCCCACAAAGGCCTCGGGCTTCAATCTGAGCTGTTATGATGACAGTGGAAGTGGTCAAACCTGATGTAAAGGCGTGCCATAAGCCTCTAAGCAAAAAGGTTCAGATTTGTGTGTAACTGTTAGAAGATGCAAAAGCAACAAGAATTGCCAGAGGAACGAGTCGGTGTAAAGTGACTTGCCTGTGTTGCTGCTGTGACTGGGGCCATTTGGAAGAGTCAGTGAGTTTCCTCCTAATTAAAAATACAAAGTGAAAACTTTCAGATGATTATCAAGGAGTATGAACTATTGAGTCTTTTTGTAACTTTTGGAGACTTTAAATAAAATATCTACTCCCTCATTAAATGAACACAGTTGACTGCTCCACTACATGGTGGTGTGTTGTGAAAAGAGCCTATACTGACCTCTTTTTCTACTTTGTCTCCCCCCAGTTGTGACAGGAGCCACAGATGGAATCGGGAAATCCTATGCGGAGGAGGTGAGGCTCCTGGACCCTTATTTATTTCATTTCTTTCACAGGAAAGCTGTGACTCATATGTAGACATACACAATGTGTTCACTCATAGGCCATGGTAGGGGAGAGCTCTTACAGGCCTATTAATGTGGAAGAGAGCCCTCACACACATCATACACGCACACACACACACTTCAACACAGGCTCGTCAGCAAGAGCTCATACAGAGGTAATGGCACACGTTGAACAGGGGTTACCCTGCCATGTGTTTGGCCCATACTAGTGTGGGGTGTGTGTGTGTGTGTGTACAATATAGTCATGTACCACTGGGGCTAGCGGCTTGTCATGCAATGGCAGGGCACCATTTTACCCAGTGTACTATGCTATGCAGGGATTTTAGACATTAACATTTTAGAATCGCACTACTTCAATGCTGCTTTCATATAGAACGTGATAAATTATCTCTAATAATGTATGAATGTTATTAGTTAATCAGAATTACCATAGTAAGTAAAGTTTCAAGCTCTCACTTGAAAGTCAACAACAAAAGTGTGTACACATCCAGGCAGTGTGATCAATCTGTGGCCACTTCTTGGGTTTTGGATGGTGTATTACTGTTGCTTTACCAGCCATCTGATCCAGAGATGAAGCATATTGATAAGTGAGAAATACAGATTTAGTTAGTGCTCTTGACATAAATGTTCTTTATTATTTTCATTCTGTATGTGATTTCTGGGCAATGAAGTTCAGGATTTTTAGTTTTCTCTCACCACCATGTGTACCTGCTAGCACTGTTTGATATTTTCTTCAACAGAAGAAAGACATAGATTCTTGCTACGGTTTGTGCATCTTCTCATGCATCTGTTACTAACTGGTTGTTCCTTCCTAGCTGGCTCGTCGAGGATTTGCTATGGTGTTGATCAGTCGCTCCCAGGACAAGCTGGATGACGTGGCCAAGTCACTCAGTAAGTGTGTGTGTGTGTGTCCACAACATCAAGGAAACCTGTTTGAGGTTGAGAGCACAATGAGTGAGTTGATGAGGATGTGTATATGGGTGAGCAGTGACGTGGAGCCTCCCACCCACCCTGTCAGATACAGGTTTTTCCAGGCTTTAGTAAGAAGGCATTTCCTTAATGTAAGGAGTTAGAATATCAAGAGGGACATGCAGTATTTGTTTGGCAGAATCTTTAATTGTGTGAGTAGTTTAACTATTCCAATTTATCCTCTAAATCCCACTTTCAGACTTTAAGTCATGCCTTTTATTTTGAGTGCTGGTGAACTAAAAACAGGCTGTTTTCCTTCCTTACTATCAGTATGAAGGAAGGTGGACAAACCTGTTCTCTGGGATATTTATGTAAAACAAATCACTTTCATTATTTAAGCCTACACAAACAAACAGTGGAGTAAATTAAACTTTTCCGACTCTTTCTTGCTGACCCCTCTCCAGATTGAACCCCCTGATTCAAATAGTGCCCGCTCCCTGACTTAACTCTTTTCCATCTGTCTTTGGCGTCTCCCACAGAGCAATTTCCCCTGTCGTGCTTCAAGTCCACAGAGGGGGCTGATGGGTAGTCACGAGCAGGGTGCAGCGTGCCAAGCTCTGGCATTCCTCCCTCACCATTAGTCACATAAAACTGCTCTCCTCTGTAGTAACTGGGCAAACTACCCTGTCCCACCTAGAACTATTCTCTCCTGTCTTATGCAGCCATGTCAGCTGACTCTTGATCGCTCCTACCTGGTAACCCCAAACTACCCTTCAACTTTAGCAACCTCAGCCTTTATATCAGCCCCCATTTGCTGCAATGTCTTAAGCTGCTTTTATCATTTTCTTTGATATGGACTTGCAGTGGTTGTGACAGCTTATAGATTTTAGGGATGCTCCAAACTGCAAACTTTTTTTTTTTATTTCACTCCCTGACCTCAGATCTCTTAGGTTTCCCCCTTTTTATTTTTATTTTTCATCTCTTCTCAACTCTGACCACATACTGAGACACTACTGGTCTTGGATGAAGCACATCCCAGGAATTTTCCTCTTCTAACTCCCTCTGCCACCTATCAGCTAAATGAGTCTTTGGACAGTAATTGCACCAGGCCTGTCAAACATGAGGAGGGAGTGAGGGAGCTTGTTTGGCTGGTTAGCTGGTATGCAGTGCCCTCTTCAGTCCAAATCCGACAGTGACTGGTTACATTCTCTATTTATTTGAACAGATCCAGGGTTTGGAAATGGGGGGGGATTGTTCTGTTGGACCATGTAATGAGCTTTTGCACAATGTGCTGATGGACATGTATGACATGAATGCATGGCATGAGTGTGTGGTGTAAAAGCACGTGATGGACATGTATGACATGAATGCATGAGTGTGTGGTGTAAAAGCACAATCACTCACACAGATGAATTAATTAAAACGTCTTTCTGAGCTTTGATCTTTTGACACCAGTTGTACAATGTTGTTTACATTTATCCTGATTAAAGCACTTTTTGTTCATTGCCAAACATACATGTCATTGTTCGCTTTTATAATTAAATGACATTGTTGTTTCTCCCTTCACAGAGGAGCAGTATAAAGTAGAGACCAAGACCATTGCAGTTGACTTTGGCAAGACAGACATCTACTCCAAGATCAATGAAGGGCTGGCCGGTTTAGAGATTGGTGTTCTTGGTAAGAGCAGATTATCTCTTAAACTTCTGATGACAGGACAGCGTGTACATTGATCCTTCCACTTTTTCCGGTGATGACTTGGTCTTCAGTTTTGTGTGTCAAACTGTTGTTTTGCACAGCGACATAAACAGTAAAGGCCTACTGCAAAAGAGAATACTGATAGTACTAGACAAACTATACAGTTGCAATCTATATTCAGGAGACATGATAAACATTGAAGCGGCATGTGAGATTCTTGGTGTCATGAGCATTGTAGAAATAGGATACATTTCATGAGGTTGAAGACGGTTTTGTTTCACTGTTGGCAGACGTCTGTTTTGCATTTCATTATATACATCAGCCATAGTGTATATTGATAGTTGTACTGTGAGGTAAAGTTGACAAACTGCTTACTATCGATGACATTGTTGTGGGAGAGGAAGATTACCAAAACACAAAGGGTGAATACTTTGTGCTTCAGCAGAACGTCACTTGTTCTTCACTTCCCAGAGGTTTGCATCCTTTTTAGAAGTGTCTAAAGATTTTTGAGAAAACATTTTGTCATGAGTCATGGTTTAAAGTTGAGCTAAAAATTCAGATGTTGGTGTTGTTTTACATGTTCAGACTTGGTTCACATTGTACTTTTGTTAAACATTTAAAGAACTCTCTGTACTTTATGATACCAGTTGTACACTACTGGTTGCAAGGTGTGGCTTTGTGGAGTAAATGTAAATGCTTTTGCTGCCACCTTGAGGTAGAAATATAGGCTAGTTTGAATTCTCCTATACCAGGTCAGTGTATTAGAACACTAGAATAATTGTTTTGTTTTCCCCCTTTGTCTTCAACAGTCAACAATGTTGGTGTGTCCTACCCCTACCCTGAGTACTACCTCCATATTCCAGATCTGGACGACGTGAGTTTGTGTTTCTCATAATTTCATCTTTATGTGCGGGTGGAAGTTGTTTTTTTTTGTTGTTTTTGTTTTGTATCCCCCAACTTTAACTTTATTGTCATTGTACATTGTACAATGAAATTAAAAATGCAATCCTTTGATGATAAAAAAATAATCATAAACAATAAAACCCAACAAATTTACACACTCGCATCCATACACATCTGACTATTGCACAGTTCCCGTAAAATCACATCAATCATTCAAATTTTAAGATTTTAGCAGCATTTAAAGCAACAATAGCTCTCGGATAAAAACAGTTTCTTAATCCGTTTGTCCTTGCTACAATTGTTCTGTATCTTCTCCCCGAAGGCAGCAGTTCAAACAGACAGTGTTCAGGGTGTGATGGGTCCTGCAGAATGTTTTGTGCTTTTTTTCAAGCAACGGGAACTGTACAGTTCTTCCAGAGATGGTAGGGGGCAACCGATAATCTTCTGGGCTCTGGTAATAACCCTCTGGAGCGCTCTCCTGTCTGCAGCTGTGTAATAAAAATTGTAATAAAAGATTCAAACTCTATTGAGCAGTGATAGAAGGACACCAGCAGTTTCTCATTCAGATTGTTTTTCTTCAAAAGACTGAGAAAATACAATCTCTGCTGGGCCTTCTTCACCAAAGCAGTGGTATTTGCGCCCCAAGTCAGGTGCTGCTCAAAGGTAACACCCAAGAACCTAAAGACGGCCACCCTCTCTACCTGATCTCCGTCGATGAACAGTGGCTTAATGTCCGATTTTATGTGACAGTACTGTACACCCTTGACATAACCAAAAAAAGCAAACACATTTTCCAAAAGCTTATCTCGTGCACCATATTTTTGTAATGGCTAGTTATCTATTGTTACCAATATCTGCTTATTTTTGTTGACATGTCTAGTCTGTACTGTGTAAACAGTTTTATGTTTATCTGACTGGTTCTTTGTGTTTCAGTTTATCACAAACATGATCAATGTCAACATGACCTCAGTGTGCCAGGTAGGTTTGTCTTCAATTACTCTGTGTGCTTGTGCTCTTCAGGGATGAAATGTTTTACAATACATTCAGTCCAGTGATTGCACACTGTACATTTATACATAAGACACCCCAAGTGTTTTGTTCAAAGTTGTTCCATGGGTACCACTTTCTTCACTTCCCCCTTTTTTGGCGTTTATTTCCCCCTCCATTCTTTTTCATCCTCCTCTTCTGCTGTTTTTACCATGGTACCTGCAGTGTCTCAGTTGTTCCCAAAGCAACGGTGGACTACACCAACGCTGTCTGTACTCGCCACCCACGCTTCTCTCTCTCTCTCTCTGTTGGTTTCTGCCTCTCTCCCCCTGCTACTTTTTTCTTAATAAAACTCCTTCCCTTCCTTCCCAGTCTTCTTCTCTGAGTTTTGTCACACTTTTGTGTGATGACTAAGGTAAACTGAGCTTGTGGTGTTGTTGTTCTTTTAGATGACCCGTCTGGTGCTGCCTAGAATGGTTGAGAGGTGAGTTAAATGATAGGCTTCCATGTTTTGCGACAGGACTGCAGTCAGATATCAGTGTTGTGGATGACTGACTTGCACAGGGAATCTCAAAATTAAACAATCTTTTTTTGATTTTGAAGAACACTGCCTCAGACATTACACTTTATAAATGTGACTCTCTTACTGAGAAGGGGCACATGAAATCCTCACCCAGCCCTTTCCATCACTGCATCTCT